GCCCCGAAGGCTCGCCCGCCCTCGCCTCGCCCAATCTAAGCCCAATTAAAAGCAATTTACCGCGACACGCACGGCTCACTGTGCATGACTGGCCCCTGACGCCAGCAATCTCTGCTCCTCTCTCTCTCTCTCTCTCTCTCTCTCTCTCTCTCTCTCTCTCTCTCTCTCTCTCTCTCTCTCTCTCTCTCTCTCTCTCTCTCTCTCTCTCTCTCTCTCTCCTCTCTCTCTCTCTCTCTCTCTCTCTCCTCTCTCTCTCTCTCTCTCTCTCTCCTCTCTCTCTCTCTCTCTCTCTCTCTCTCTCTCTCTCTCTCTCTCTCTCTCTCTCTCTCTCTCTCTCTCTCTCTCTCTCTCTCTCTCTCCTCTCTCTCTCTCTCTCTCTCTCTCTCTCTCTCTCTCCTCTCTCTTCTCTCTCTCTCCTCTCTCTTTCTCTCTCTCCTCTCTCTCCTCTCTCTTTCTCCCTCCCTCCCTCCCTCCCTCCCTCCCTCCCTCCCTCCCTCCTTTCGCCGTCCTCCCCTCCCCTCTCCCCCAGTCTTCTTACTGGTTTCAACACTTAACTCATTCCTTATAGCCCTCGTATCCTCTTCTCCTTTCACCAACACGAAGCTCCTTGCACAGCGGGACTAAACCCGCGGCTTCTGCCACCATGGTCTATATAAGTTATAAGTAGGCCTACTTATAAAAAACCTTGGCTGCTACCACCTGCCACGAGGTCCGCGATGTCCTCCGTTTCCAACATGGCAACAGCTGTTTGTCGTGTAAATGAAGGTTACCCATTGTTTTTTACTTGAGGAAGATGTGCGTTTGATTCTTATGCTCTGCGGTAGGAAACAGATGCACGTCGACCTTTTCTGCACAAATGGCTCGCCTGTTGGCGAGGCGGCAGTTGAGGCGGCAGCTCGAGGCGCCGCCCGAGTCTGATCAGTGCGCCGTGACGGGAGTGCGAGGGAGTGTGGCGGGCGCGGGCGGGATGAGGGTCACTGCGGCAACGGAGAGTAAGAGTGATGTGCGGCGGGAGGGGCGGGCTTAGTGAGGCGGCGGGAGGGGCGGCGCAGCGAGGCAGGAGAGCAAGGGAGGCCGTCGGCAAAGTGGACTCTCCAACCCTTTTGGAAAGCCTCCTCCTTCCGCCCGTGGGGACACTCGGAGCCAAATCGAGAAGGAATCGCATTGATTCACCGACTCCGAACGAAAATGAAAGAATACTTTTAGGCGTCCTCGGGACGGCCAGGCAGCGTGGCTGGCACGCTGCCTGCCGCAGACGCACTTGCAAGCAGAATGGGGACGTAGTTGCAAGTGCATTGGGAGGCCGTCGCCCTGCTTTGTCTGTGACGCTGAGCATACCAGGGCGTTTGTAAGAAGTTAAGCTGGAGAAAGCTCGTCACTTTATTTATTTTCTGTTTTAGTTATTTTTGTCATTGTTATCATTATCTTATCGCGATAAAGAGGAAGTGTTGTGTCCCATATTAAGAATATAGTAAGACAGTCTGTTGGGTAAGACCTTTGCATAATTCATGGTCATCTAGCTGATGAATCTCCCCGCCTCTTCTCTCGTTCTCTTTCTTTCTTTCTTTCTTTCTTTCGTTGTCTGTGTCTGTCCCTCGGCCTTGTGTGCGAAAGGCGGCCTTTGGGCGGCTCTGTTCATAATACGTGTGACCTCGTGCTTTCTGTGCCCTGACGTGATCCTTTTATTGTTAGGATGAGAGAGAGAGAATGCGTGAGGCGACTTGAAAACGGAACCGATTTCGTGACAGAGACGAAAGATGTGACACTTGTAACCTCGGAATCAGAATTGGTTTGACACAAGAAGGCAAGAAACGAATGGTGAAGCATGTGATGACGGCGCGGCCGGGACACGCACAGCAAGAGAGAGAAAGCACCGCGATGTGTTCCGCAGCGTCACCTTTCCCCCGAGAGTGAGCGGCCTCGCCTGCGCCCCTGCTTTCCCCACCCCTCCCCCTTCCCCCTTCCCCCTGGCCCCCCCCCTCCCACCATGGTGACGCGCGCGGCCAAGCAGCGGGAGCTCTCCTCCACGTACCAGAGCTTCGCGGACACGGGCCCCACGTACTCCTACCTGGACCTCAGCCGCGCCCGCAGCGATGAGTCCTTGATGTGGGCGGCGGGCGAGGAGGCGGCGGCTCTCGTGGCGGAGCTGCGGGCGTCGCTGGCCGCGCCCCTCCCGCGCCTCGAGGACGCCCACGCCCCCGCCGGGGAGGACGACGAGCCCGAGGACGAGGGGCTGGAGATGAGCGTCGTGCCCCTGCGGAGGGCGTCCCTGGGCAGGATTTCCCTGGACAGGACGTCCATGGAGAGGCTGTCTCTGGACAGGAGCTCCCTCGGAAGGGCGTCCTTCTGCGGCAGCGGCCGCTCGCTCTCCTTCACCGACCTGCACTCGGCCGCCACCTCCGCCGAGGACCTGCGCCTCTTCTGCTTCCACCCCGCGCGCCTGCCGTGCTCGCCCCACTGCGCCTCCTCCTGCGCCTCCTCCGCCTCCTCTACGGCGTCC